TTTGGGAGTCTGTGTAGAGTGAGATGTAACTGGAAGGTTGCCATGCTCCACACATAAATCCAATTCCACATTTTTTTTTCTTCCATCGGTCTGACATGATGCCCCAGGCTGCCCACGCTGCGCATTCCAGCCCTACCACAGAACCTTGTATGTGTGTGGTACACTCAAGGCCTTGTTTTAGACATACCTTACATGCCCCACTCCCCCCCAATCCTTCATGCACACACACACACACCTCAAGGCGAAGGAAGACTAGACAAGAATTGATCTGCACTCCCAAACAGAACTAATCGCAAGGAGACGTGGGACTAATATGTGCATAGCTCTGTCTGCCTCTCCATTTTTAAATCTGTACACCCAATGGGTCACTTATTCAGTGAAGTCAAATGTCTTATGTACAGTCACACACAGACAGGCATGTGCTCTGTTCTGACAAGCAAAAGCCAAATAGCCAAATAAAGGACTTTTAAGATTCAGATGTTGGAACCATGGCTTAGCAGTGCATTTAGCTGTGGTGCTCATATGGACAGTGTGGGATGAATATAGCTTGCAACAGTTCCCTATGCTGTTCCTCCTCCTTATTTCAGTTTATAAAGTAAAATATAAAATAAAAAAGAAGCAGACAAATTGTGAAACAAGCAAACACATAAATAAATATATAAATAATGGATAGAGAGAGGAATATGAGTAGAAGAAATGCGAGTGTGGGAATATGAAGTGATTTCATGCTCAAACCTGATGACACAAAACCGAATTTCGAGTTGCTATTGTCTGAAAATCTTGCCCTTTTGCTCTATTTTGATCTGAGATATCATACATTCTCATGGTATACAAGCAAATTGTACAAAAATGTACAATAATAATAATAATAATAATAATAATAATAATAATAATATGCATTAGCCACCAGTTCGTCAAAATGTAAAATGTGTATGAATTGTTTGACTGATCTTCACACAAAGGTTTAGTTAAGACGTTTTGTGTTGGAAAACATGTATGTTGTAGTTTGTTTTTTTGTTTTGTTTTTTATGAGAAAAAAGTTTGTGAAGAATAATTTGATTTGGAACAATATGAGTAAATGATGACAGAATTTTCATCATTTTATCAGTCTAATACTTCACTTCATTTGTACAAAAAATTATACAGCTAAGTAAAAAAATAAGGTGGAGTGAAAAATAAAAAGAGTGAGAGAGAGAGACAGACCTTGTGTCCCTGGTTGCTGATATTTAATTTACCAGTCTTCACAATGAGAAAGATCCAAGTTACTGGGATTAAATCAAAACTACTCACTGACTACCTCTCTTTCTCTCGCTCTCTCTCCCTCCCTGGTCTCTCGCTCCGGATGAAATGTTGTGACAGTGTTGCGCTGATGTTGTAGGGGGTTAAAGTCACCAAGTGCATATTATCCTGTAAGGCTTAATATGCAGGTTGAATCGCGAGGGGAGACTCTTAAATTACAGTTTGATGGGCCTAGCATTCAGCATGACAACAATACCCGCACAGACACTGTGTTACGTCTAAACACACACACTTATACACACGTGTGCTTGCGCTTAGCTGTCGTACGGATATTCATTCAGCAATATATGTTTGTGACACAAATAATCATGCAACCATACACATGCAGCCAATGCCGCACGCATGTACTTCATTTCATTGTCTTATCACATGGCCATGACATTCACACAGATGCCAGCTGAATTTATCTTTGTTTCCAGCCATTGTCTTTGTTTGTCTGTAGCTACTATCTGTGTGTGTGTGAGAGTAAGCTGCTTGTTATAGTGATGGAGTGTGTGTGTGTGGGCTGCCGCGTCAAGCCTGTCCTCTCCGCTTTCATAAATCTGCATTGGATGAAGCTCTCGAGCCATAAAACGCATCGATCGCCATCCTTCACACACACACACACACACACACACACATTCTTCCCACAGACTACTCCTGCTTTCTATAGGAACGTTGTATCTTTTTGAGTGAGTTTTGAATGCACAAGTGTGTCATAATATAGATGGATAAACAAGACACATGGCAACTAGTCAAATAATGACGCCTCAGCATAAATATATAAACACATCTTCACGTTTTTAATGAGTCACAGTGTGGATATGACTCCAGATGTTGACCTATAGCTGAATGTTTGTTCTTAAAGTGTGTTTATATCTGTGTTTGCTTCAGACTTGTGTGTTTTGTGAGTTTTCACATTTCCAGTTCATTTAGTTGTCTCATAATGGTGCGGTTGGCCCAATCCACATGCCCTGCCTGCCTAGAAAAACTAGGACACACACACACACACACACACACACACACAGACTGACTGACTGACTCTCACACACTGACATACTTTGCTGTTGTTATTGTGTTCAGTGATGTGCAGCTTAGCAGAACACACACAAACTCTTCTTTTACACACACATGCACATGCACACGCACACGCACACGCACACACACACACACACACACAGACATACACCTAATTCATCCCAGAGGAACATTTTGTTGCTTTAAGGTTGCTCTTTTATAGCTCATGAGACTTCTGTTGTTTCAATTAAGTATCAACCTCATCTTATATGTTTCTGATGTTTCTCAGGATACAAACCTGAGAAGACATTTTGCCCCCTAGGAGAAACAATGTAAAAACTGATCTCATCGTTCAAATTCAGATAGTGTATATACAAATTGTAAACATGAAAACAAACACACACACAATCAACACATTAAACATCTTTTTTGTGAACTTTCACAGTCTTTTTGTGTAAGAAACATTCACAGCTAAAATGTACTTAATTGAATAAGAAGGACTGAGAGTGAAAGAGAAACACTTACTTCTGACTTCTGGGCAAGTGCTGGATTGTAAAATATGGCCTTCATGAATGTACAGATAAATCAGAGTCAGGCCTCACTGATGTGAAATGACTGTGACAGTAATATACTGTTACAATAACATACACATCAAATATTAAAATGCTCTCTCTTTCTTACTTTGTAATGGATTACTTGCTGTATCCTTCAAAAATGTTTTCATATCTGTACTCGTGTTCGTTTTTGAATGTCGTGACTATAAACATATTTCTGGATGATTTGTAACTCAGTGGATAAGTTTTTTTTTTTACAGTTATAACTTTTGTAAAAGTCTAATGATGGATTCTGTGACTAACTGAATAGAATAACTGATCTATGGTTGAAGAGTTGCATATGAAGTTGGTCCTAAATGGACTTTTGAAAATTGTCTTTTTGTTGGCCAAAGAAATCCATGTGCATATGTTTAGATCATCTCTTCTCCTCTCTCTTCAGGTAACAGGTTTTTCCTGACGGCATATGGGGCCCTCTACATATCTGACGTTCAGAAAGAGGACGCCCTCTCTACCTACCGCTGCATCACCAAGCACAAATACAGCGGAGAAACCAGGCAGAGCAATGGGGCTCGTCTGTCTGTGCTGGGTAAGTGTATGGGTTTATGTCGGTTTTCTGGGCAGTTGATACTTCTTTGTCATATTTGTCAATCCTAATGCATTAAGCATATTTTCATAATTAGATTTGTTACTGTCTTGGATGTGCTTCTTTGAGAAATAACATTAAGATCCTAATACATGTCATTCATATTTAAAGGGATTATGTCCTACATTTTAATTGTATATATATATTTTCCCTGAAGTCTACTGATGTTAGTCAAAGGTTCTTGTAGAAAAAAATAGCTATAATTTCGTTTAACATGAGCATGTTCTTCCTCTTCTCTGACCATTAATCAGGCAGTTTTGCTAGTGTAACTTTAAGACTTATGTATGTAAATGACTATACATAAATTGGCTACAGTTGCTTGTTAGTTGCTTTCTATAATAACTTTATCTCTGTCCGTAGACCCCACTGAAACCCCACCTTCTGTGATGGACAGTTTCCAGTCAGGAGAAGTACAAGTGGGGCGAAGCATAGAGTTGCCCTGTATCGCCTCCGGTTACCCCAACCCCACCATCCGCTGGTTGAAAGATGGGAGGCCCCTTCCTGCTGACTCCCGCTGGACACGGCGACTGACCGGCCTCACAATCAGCGACCTCCGTCTGGAAGACTCTGGAAACTACATCTGTGAAGTCACCAACAGCTTTGGCTCCAAAGAGGTCACAGGACGCCTTAATGTCATCGGTGAGGAGAAAAGAAAAAATAAATAAAGGGTAAAAGGGAAAGAGGGGAGTTTACAAGAAGATGGACTGGTGGTAAGACATAAGTAAATTATGAAAGATGTCACCATTACACTGTTGGTAAGGGAAAAAGACAAGCTTTTCAAAAGTTACAAGTTACCTTCACCTTTTAACTTGTCATAGATCCAAGCACAGTATGCTCTTTTAACTTAAAATTTAAGGTAAGAATTATGTTCGGTATTTGGAATGTTCTTCCAAGACCAACAAAATATCCCGGAACATGTCCTACTTGACAGAATCTTCTCAACCTTTTAAGTAGGACATATTCCTGGATCAACATCATTCCTATTAAACAATCGTACAGGTATAGGGATAGAGCTGTGGTTGGTGTGGACTTCAGCCTCATAGTAAAAGTAGGATTATGACCATGTTTGACTGTTATGTTCTTCCAGAACTAACAAAAGACGCAGGAACATGTCCAATTTCAAAGTCATGGCCACATAATCTATTCCCCAAAGCAGAAAGCAAAACCTTGAGGCAAGTGTCCTAATCTTTACTCCTGGAGATCAACCTTCATGTAGAAAGTTTAGTTCTGATCTTACTTCCAATGAACCTACTTGCAATTTTCAACTTAACCCAAGGAATTTGATTAGCTGTCTCAGGTGTGTTGGAGTTGGAACTAACCTCTGCAGGAAGTTTGTCCTCCCCAAACAGGGATGAGGACACTTGCCCCAGGGTTTGGCTGTCCTTTGGGTGTACACAACTTTGATGGTACTGTAGAAGGGTTAGGGTGACCTAAGAATTAAAATCTTGGGGCCAGTAGATCTGGGTCACCAGTTGGGGGGAGGGGGAGGGGGTCACTTACATTTATTGAGTGCAAGGTTGGTCTATCTTCTAAGTCCTGGAATACCCATACCCTTTCATCCAAAGGAGAGGGTTCAGATCAAGATGGTCCATCACCAGGCTACTGGACTAATCTCTTGCCCCAGATCTCCTGTGCAACTGAGTCATAGGGAGAGAGAGAAATATCAAATGGAGTATACCAGGGAGTGAGTAAGTGAGAAGCAAATTTAGGTTTAAGAGATGTTGGCACACTGGTAGGCCTCTGCCACGTTCTTGCTGACTTATAGTGAAATAAATATGAGAGGACAGGAGGATTGGTCTGGCCTCTCCAGTCTGACCCCTGTTCTACCAGAAATGTGTGTATGAGTGTGTTTTTTAAGCAGGCATGGGGAGGGATCTTAGACCAGTGGGATGGAATTGGCTGGAGCCTTAATGAGAAAAGAAGAGGGGGATAGAGGAAGGGGAGGTGGGGTGGACTTTTGGACATTTAGCCGGTAGGCACATCACACCGGTGTGCTCACACAGATTCTGACAGAACAGGAGGGGAGGACGGCACGCACACGCATACATGCCCAAACACACACCGAGGCCTCTAGCACCCACTGCCTTATTGCTTACTGACATTTTCTCTATCTATCTATCTATCTATCTATCTATCTATCTATCTATCTATCTATCTATCTATCT